GGGGGGGGGGGGGGGGATCAGTACTACACCAAGGGCGAAGATCTCCCCCTTCGAGACGAAGCAATATACTCCAATATACCATACCAACAACGTTAGCAACGATCATGAGCCGTTGGCGCAAGTGCGGGAAGCAACGATGCTTCTGCGGCGACCAAGGGCTGACTCAACCAGGCCACGATGGCATTTGCATTGTTGCTGTCGTTGTTGTTGTTATTGTTGTTGATGTTAATTGTCTTCATACTCAACAAACTTTCCGGTCTCCGCTCAGCACTTTATCCGTATGTAGCCAAGATCAAAGTAAGGGTTTGTATAGAAAAAAAAACAGTATTGACCTTGTACAAAGTATCCCTTGCCCAAAAAAACAAAAAAGCGCGAAGGCGACTTGGCGAGAGCAACCGAGGCGAGTCGCGCCCAACCAAGCAAGTCGAGGCCAACTTGAACTCAACATTGCGGTATGATCTTGAAGGGGAATACTAGTCGATATGTGTGCCTGTATGTATGTATGTATATGTATGGGTTGCACTAAAAAAAAGAAAGGACTTTTAGGGGGCTACGCAAACGGAGACACACCAGCAGGCTGCAAGAGGTGCGAGGAGCAGCTCACGGGTTTCCAAAACAAGCAAGCAGTAGAACCCGCGACAGACAGCGGAGAGTGTACGCGGATTGGCAAGAGAAAAGTCCGATGCCCCCTCAAGAACATGGTATTGCATTAATTGTAACGGTCCCTGCCTAGCACCGCCGAGGAACGGCAAGGGTTTGTCCCGTAGGCCATATATACAGCCACCGCGAACTATTCTGATTATGACACAAGGCACTTTCATACTCCATGCATGTCAAGCCATATCACCTGCCTTACTAAGGACGATTAGCAATAAAAATGCGGCCGTTCTAAAGGGGACCACCACCAACTCACGAAACCCACAAGGGCCCGTGGGCTCCCGTCCCACAAGCGAATGCTTAAGGGAGGACTGGTGCTGATGCGGATTCTCACCTCATCGAAAGCCATCCTGTTGGAGACTACGCGGCTCGTGGACGGCAGGGGCTCCGCGGAGTGCTGTCGAAACGCCTCCTCTAGGACGTCTGGTGGAAAACAATCCCCGAATGAGAGACGGAAAGGGAGGGTACAGGAATTCAACAGCCAAAGCTGAAGATCTCTACCCGCAAAAAGCAAGACCGGGACACAGCAGCAACGCGTCGAGTCGACCAATCACTGGGGAACAACGAAATGGCAACGCGCTAGACACTACCTGGTACAGTCGTGGCTCCGACGTAGGAAGGTCGTGTGGCAAAGGCCCTCGACCCTCATATATCGGAACCGCCTCTTGTACCGCATAAAGAAGGTACCCAAAATGTATAGCGCGACGAGCCCGTGACAACCGATTTCGACCCTCTTGGATGCCCCCTCTTGTAAGGTACGCTCTTGCATCGGAGCCCCGACTGTATGCAATAGTGTCAACCTAGCCACGTGCACCACTACTCAAAGATCCAGACCATGCACAAATCTAGGACAAATCTTGACAAGCATCGGGTGAAATAAATTGCGCCTTTCACGTGGCTCTCCGTCCAGAAATCCCGCTAGACTAACGCTCTGGAAAGACGTACAAGGAGGGAGGATAGCGATTCTTTGCGCTTGCTGCTCTTGTGTCCGAGCTGTAGCAGTTTCTGAGGGATGTCGCTGTGTCGAGTAGCGGTAGGAAGAGGGTGTCTTGTGCCACCAACATCAGTGTAGTCGCAAAGAAAAGAAGAACGAACAGCCGTTGCCCTCGCCGCTCCCTTCATAACACTGGCTGTAGCACCCCATCACCTCACACACTCAGAACCAGGCTTGGCGAAATTCATGCAAAAATGGAACGGCATAATAAGTGGGGTGAAAGGGCGGGAACTGATATCCATAGGATAGACAGGGTTGGGAAAGAATTTAGGAGCCACTTTCGGCAAAGTAGGAAAGAACGATTGGCCATCCGTGATCGGTCCTAGTGGGAAAAATGTTCCCGTCTTCTGGAAGATGCGCGGTCAATGTTCTAAGCGCTCAAGGCATGCAAAGCATGAGTATGCCCCCCATGCTTGGTGATGTGCTAGCCTGGTCCGGTGAAAACCCGGCGTGCTCCGTCCCGGCTTTGGAGGGATGGGAAGTCAACGACCCAACGACTACGGCATGCACGGCTATGAGTACAACCCCCTCGCTCACCAGCGATGCCTGCGCTGAACATGAGGAGCGGGACCCCGTACTTGTCCACCCAGCGGAGGAGCTCGCCGTGGCCAGGCCTAAATAGGAGGTTGGCCTTTGAGACCGCGGCCGACAGTATGTCCTTGGTTATGCCAGCCGCCACCATCGCCTGCAGACACGGCGCACAGAGCAGCGCAGTCACGCCCAACGCGTCATTTTGACGACATTTCACGTTTGATTTATTGCACCCCCAAAACTGAAAACTACTAAAAAATACTTCCCAAAACAAAACACACCAACCCTATCATTTTTGGCAGGCGATTTTTTTTCCCAGACCATGGTTTTATCTGTAATTGTCAATCAGTCGATAGTCGACCGACCAGCGTTGCCGCACTGCTTGAAATAAGCGAGTTTTGGGGGAGATTCCGTGGTCTCCAGGATCAGTATTCCCGTCGGTCGCGAAGCCGGTGACGGTGATACAGCAGTATCATCCGTGCAGTAGCCTTGAACATGCGTGCGTGTGTGCCAACACGTGGGTGTACGTGCCTCTCAAGCTACAGAGCAATACGTTTTGGAGGGGGTGCGTGCGCCACACAGGATTGAAAATTCTCGAAGGTGACGAAACGACTGACAGGTGCATCTATCCTCCCGCCGGCTTATGGTTCCCGGCGCAACAGAAACCTGCCATGAAAGCCAGTAAATCGGGCGGGGGGGCGATCACCTAAATATTTTAGGTGTTGAACGACAATCGGCGCACTCACCTCATGAGCTTTGGTGACCCACTCCACCATCATTTCCACTCGCATCTCTGGCGAAAGGTCCGGAGCCACCTGGTGTCACGCGCGACGGTATCTCGTTTCGTTTTACACGCGTGGGCTAATTCGTAATACGGCACTACAAAAGCTGAAGAACGGCAGCAACGGCAGCAGCAGCAACAACAACAGAAGCTGCAGCAGCAGCAGTAGAAGCAGCCGCAGCAGCCACAGTAACAACAACAACAAGGACGACGACGACGACGACCAAGACACACGAAAGAGTGGGATCCGCCGTTCGTTTGTATATCGGAGGCTTCCATGACAAGTCTTCCCCGAAAAGAAAACGCCCCATCAGAGGCAGGTTGGCGTGAATTCGCGGCGCCTGCAGAGAAACAGATACTGACAGGGCTTGCTCCAGCTGTCAAGCCTCGGTACAGCTACTGTACCAGAGACGCTGCCCAAGCTAGACTGGATCTCTCCCCGAGCTAGGCTGGATCTCTACCCAAGCTACACCAGATCTCACTGGCGTAGGGCACGTCGCATACCCCGCGAATAGTTGATACTGCGTGCATGGACAGCGTTGCCTGACCTCTAGCGGATAGTAGTGGTCCCTTAGCTCCGAGGTTCTCTTGTGGAAACCCTCCCCCAACAACCCGCTCTCATCGATCACGGCGTGGCAGGAGTCACCCCTCTTGCCATTCACCCAAAACTTGGTCAAGGTAAAGTCGAAGTCTGTGCGACCACAAAAAAAATGACGGCGATGCCCCATGCGGGAGAGATTAACTTGCCGTAGATCGATCGAGCAGAACAAACAGTTTTTTGTTGTTGTCACAATAGGTCCTTCGGGACCTGATGCAGCTTTTCCGGGGGTGACATAGACACATCAGACAGCTTCGATCATTACGCACACCTAGATGGTTGGCTACTGACAATTTTCCTCACTTTGTCTTCCTGTGGGGTCTGCCTTCCGTTTTAAACGCGAGGAGAGTTGAGCAGTTCGTTCCCTCCTATGGTGACCACTAACGACTATGCGCTTCCACCTCCAATACCATTTTAGGGTTAGGGCTTTTATTAGCTCGGGACAAAGTGGCTCAAGTGTTGGGTATTGTTGCACCCCCTGTTTGCTGGGCTAGTTTTTCTTTCGTACGGTATGGGGTTTTAGTCGCAGTTTGTAATTGAGGCGCTTCGTCTCTCAGAGGCTGGTAGAATGTTCGGCTACCTTTACAAAGAAGTGATCAGAGAAGCCGTGGTGCAAATAAAGCGGGCAGCGGTGAATGTTGAGGTGCGCACCAAGTGATTGAGTTACAGCAGCAGCGGGTGCTCGGTTCTGGCGGTGTTGCTTGCTCTTGTTGTCTTCCGCATCATCACTCATCACCCAGATGGATCACGAAACACTGGGCTCTATCCAGTACGTTCCAATCGCTCTCTTCGAAACGAATTTACGTGGTCACAAGCTTAGGATCGCTCGTTTTCCACATCGGTATTCTCTTTAGTTCGTCTGCAGTTCGCCGCCCTTTGGCGGGTAGTGGTCGTTGTTGACGCGGGCTCTTCAATCACGAACAACGGCGCACGTCGTAAAAGACTTGCCAGGATTGACAATTGACCGCTTTCCATCAGGACTCCATCCCCATTGAGGGGCTGATGGTAGGCTTGAGTGATCTGACACACTCAAGCAGTGCGTTTGATATTCGTGAAAACAGACATGGAGAGTGACAGATGAGAGTCCGAGACATAGGATCCCGTCATATCCAAACCACAGATGCATACCCTAAATGATATCCACAACACGGAGCCCCGAGTCTCCATACACGTTCTACCATGTGACTACCATTGACCAAAGTTCACAGCACCCGCAACGGGACTGAAGGAACAGAATTGACCCAGAGACGGTCTAGGTATGTCCCAGCATTCGCGAAGAAATGTAGGTCCAGAGAGAGGTTTGGAAGAAGGGTGTCCAACGAAAACCTAAACAGCTATTTAGAGCCTCTTACTCCACTCGCCAGCTGATGCTGTGACATCTAGTTTCGTTAAGAGGGTAATGGAGATGTCCTAAAAGAGACCGAGAACGGAACGACTCAGCAAGCTGCAATGCAAAAATATGAACTGTACCATCTCATCATCATCTGTTGGCTGGCATGGAACGGTCACGGTTCACAGGCCTTCCCCCAACAAACAGCAAAGAACGGGAAAGGAAAACCCAAAAACATAAGAAGAAAATGCTGCAGACCACAGTTAGTTAGCGCCTGCACTTGAGAACCTCTAGTTTATTGCCGTGTTGGGGTGCTTGAACGAGCTCACAACCGGTGTTAATTTCTTAGGTTTTGGGGATTTTGAGGCTCAATTTTCTTGACTGCTAACCAAGTCCTTGGGTGCGGGCGCTCGACGTAAATCTATCTGAGAGGCCCTGGCTATCCGGCGGCAGGGGAAGAAACAATAAAGGCGTCAGTTTTCAGCCGGTTTCCTTCCACTCACCGAAAAGACTTCCGCGCATCCCTTTCGACTGTGGATAAATCTCGAACGGGTAGACTATTTCTTTTCTGTGAGATTATGTTTACTTTCTAGAAAAACAGCCACACAAAAAGAGAGTTTAAAAAAAAAGCGCGTGCCAGCAAAAAAAAATGACTGCGGACGTGCACGTCCGTGGACATGAACTGGTTGACTATGCATTACAAGAGCGAACATGTACTCTACATTATCTTCTGAGGATGATCTCCTGATCTCCTGCGGCACGCATGATACCACCCCCCGCCCATTTTCTTGTGCTGCTGTACCTGATATGATTTGCAAGTGGTCCACGCCGCCTGCCACTATCCGCTGCCGCTTTCGCTCGAAGTCCTCCGCATCGCAGAATAGTACCCGAGGGCTGTTCTCCGCCTTGCTGCCGCCGCCGTTTTCTTCCACAGCAGGCATCTCTGAGTACAGCAGTACTGCTGTAGTAGTTCTGCGTCGTACCGGCAGCGATGCTCTACTGATGTACTGCGGCTGCAACACCTTTTCTGTATCTCCAAGTGGAAGTAGAAAACTAGGTATGGGAGATCAGCCTGACAAGGTACCAAGGCGCGTTGTCCACGTCTTGTGTGTGAGCTTGTTGGAGACACACCAAGATACACGCTCTCAGCAGGTCAGCTTTGGGGGGTGAACGGAGCGGACATCCATCCCCCCTGTAATTGTCGGCTAGATACCGCGGAGCTTCCACGGACTGTCAGGTTCAGCTGTTCAGCGTGCGCACAGCACAGACAGCAGAGCACACACCCACGCGTCCGCAGGGAGAGGGCACCCCCGACCGAAAACGCAATGCGATCTAGTGTGGCCTCTCTGTTGCTCCTTGTGAGCGCAGCTAACCCTCTGGTTGGATGGTGTTTGTTAGTTAGGCCAGCACACCCAATAACATCGCGTCGAACATCATCATCGTCGTCAAGATCTGCCGCTGACCTACTGCCGACTGCTACAGGGACACCAGACGGTCGACGTCAGCGCTTGTACAGCTCAAGAACCAGCACTAGCCGCGGCTACTACAAAGCCGAAGAGCAGGACCATGAGGTGGGTAACTACGCACCTACCTTGGTGTTTCATCCTTACTGCCCAGCATGTTGGATGTTTTGAAATGACACATGAAACTGCTGCTGTAGACAAAAACATGCGAGAGCGATGAATCGATCGACATGACACACGTGCTGTACAACCTGACCATCGCCTCGTCGAGTAGTGGGTATCACGGTTCATGGCACCACTATCACCCCATGTGCTCGACGTTCTGCCATGTGTAGCAGAACTACTCCTACCACAGCAGTCGGAGAGAAACAAAACCCAAAACACGAGCCGTTCCAACCTGCAATCGGTCCATTCCAGCGACACATGCATGATGGTTACCGAAATGGGGGTGGATACTGTACTACACATACAGCAGTAGCACGGCGAAGGCAATGCCGGTGACTGCAGACCGTTGCGCGGTGTCTTGCAAGACTTTCCTTCTGCAAATGGTGATATGCTTAAACCTGTTCGGTACCGTTTGGCAGATTGCCCGCACCTCCCTCCCTACTGACTGCACACATAGCAGCCGTGACGAGTAACCGTAGGACTTTCCCACTACGGGGGGGGCTCATGGCTGCGAAGTCGTATGCACAAGAGCGTCAGAGCACACAATATTGTTGGATGCAGCAGCATAAGATGAGAAGATCGATGCTCAGTGATGAACTCGTCCCAATTTTGGCCTCACGGTGAGCATTGAGAGACTCTGCCCAAATGATTGTGATTGTCCCATCCACGCTGGGCGCCAGTCCACACCTCTCGGCACACATATGGTTTGACGAACCTGCCGGGTGATACAGAAGGAAGGCCTTCAACAACCACACGATTTTTTTTAATTGCGGTCTTCGCTCTTTGACGTGCGGTTCGGACGGTGCACTGCTGTATGTGGGCCACACTCACGAAATCAGCGAGGCGACAACATGAGCCCTGGGAACTTTTCTTCTCCGTGTCATCTCCTGTGGTGTTTGCCTCCCAAGTTTTCATGAAACATTACAGTTATTTCGGCCTCTTGTGTGTGTGCCGAGTTTGTGCCGCGCTGCCTGTCCGGCGTCTGGCGGCGCGCCCGGTGTCTCCCTGTGAGCAAAAGGTGCGCTTCAGGTAGCGTTTTCCATCCCGCTTGATCTCTCCCCTCCACCATACTACTTCGCCGTTTCCTCTCACTCACGTAATTTCACCCACGTGTTCCTTCTGCAGGCGCCGCCGTCATCGCTTCGACGAATACCAAACCACGCCGAGCTACCTTCGCTCGTCCGGGACAGCAACGCCGTCACAACCACCACTACCGCCGAAACCGTCGCATCTTTGGCGAGACAAGCGCTAGCGACTGTGGCGCTAGCGGCTGTCCTCACGCCGGCGGTGTTTATCGGCGAGGTGACGGTTTCACCGCTGCTGGCCGGGAAGGGTGGGGTTGCGCCGCCTACCGCTGCGTTCGCTGAGCTGGAACCTTTACCGCTGAAGTCGTACTCGGAAGAGTTTTCCAGCGGACTTGCACCCGTCAACACTGTACGCGGTGAGAGCCATTTTCCGCTGAGTGTTGTTGTTGTTGTTGTTGTTGTTGTTGTTGTTGTTGTTGTTGTTGTTGCCGTTGTTGTTGATATTATTACCTTCACATTAAGAACCGTTCCGATCTGTCTACCCAATACCTTCATCTGCCCCGGCTTCTTTTGGCGTCCTCCGGGTGTAGGCGATGATTCGCCCGATCGACAGGGGTCTGCGCAGAAGAAGCATTGAGTTGGGGGGCACAAGCGTGGTGCCAACCTGCTTAGGCCATAGGCTCGGGGTTCCATGGCACTCTGTTGGCGGAGAATTTCCACGATTTGACACGTTTTCGCTGGGTGCTCCCTCGGTATTTTCGTGCACTGACCTACCTCTTGGATGTCAACCTTGTTAAAACCTCGTGTTGGTCTCGTATGCGAAGTAAGGTGTTCATGACCGATGATGACACACTTTGCCATTCCTTTTACTCCTTTCTGCAGTAAAATTGGTGCGTGCCTAGAGCACCCTTCTCTTCTTGACACACCATCGCCAACAAAATGCCTTGGCGATATGAACCAATTCTCAGCATACCCCAAGGTTGACCCACATGCATGCCGTACGTTTGCAAGGTTTGTGGCGAACCCGCGAGACGCGAAACGACGGTTCCGCCCTGCCTCAGGAGGCGGGCAGACTAGGCAGGAAAGGCATCTGCGGGGGGCGGCTGTCCTTCAAGGGCTTTGTAGGGGCTGGGAAGGGAACAGTCGAGTACAAGGGGTGCGGGGACCGAGAGGGGAAAGGGAGGTGGCTCACCAAGCCCAAGAACATCGTGAACGGAAGGTGCGTTCATCCCCCTATGATGTGCAACTTGCGTTGTCTGTGTTTGTCGTGGTTGATGAGAAAGGTGCACCTCAACATTTCTACACTTGAAAAAACCTATAGGAGTATACCACAGCCCGTTTGCGTTTAAAGCGCGCACTTGATGTCCTCGGAAGCGCATCGTGAAACGCGGCGGATCTTTTGGGGCGCTAAAAAACACTTCGTTGTCTCTCTCGTTGTATCACTGCCAACCTAACCAGCATCTTGCGTGTTGCTCGAGGTGGTTGGTGTTGTGCTATTCTTTGCGCTTCTCAATGTTTCGTGTGGTTGGTGCTTGCCCCCCCCCCCGCATACACACATGCGCTCTTCCCCCTCCCATGATTAAGACCTCTCACGCCCTGTGGTAGGCAACACCTCTCGACGGTTTGGGAACAGAGCAGTGAGACTGCCGTCCTTTTTGTTGTTCTCAAGCCTAGAGCAGTCGTTATAATGTTCAGGTACTGTCTCTTTCCCTTAATGTGACGGTCTCTTTCCATGATGGCCTGGTAGTCCTCAAGCCCAAGGTAGTCGTTCCCATCCCCATGCATTGGTCTCTTTCCGTTAATGCGATACCTTCCCCATGTATCTGTCTCTCTCCACTATTGTGCTACCACCCCCATGTATTTGTCGCCTTCCACTTAACGTTGTACCATCCCCATGCATTAGCCTCTTTTCACGAATGTGATAACATCCCGATGTATTCGTCCCTTCACCACTCCACTCTGTGATGATCTCTTTCCGTGATGGTCTGGTAGTTCTCAAGCCCAATGTAATCGTTAGCATCCCCATGTATTTGGCTCGTCCCATTCACGTAATACCATCCCCATGTATGGCTCTTTCTACTATTTAACGTGATGGTATCTTGGTATATAGTTCTCAAGCCCAAAGTAGTTTCTATCATCCCCTGTATTTGTCTCTTTCCGCTAACGTAATGGTCTCTTTTCCATCAACGCGACAGCTACATTCCTACTTCGTTCTCTCCCTCAGGATAACCCTCTCCGCCCGATGGAGCGTCAACTTCACCGACGGCACGACCCTCCTCTACCGGGGGGACGTCGTACAAGACGCGGAGGCTCAGGGTACCGCCCTCACCGTCGATACATCCGGCGCGGCGGCCATGGGGGGCCCGGCGTTCGAGAGGCCCGACGCTCACATCCGAGGGGAGGTTCTGCGTCCGGTGAAGAACATCCAGGGCAGCCTCACCGAGAAGAAGATAGGGGAGTTTGAGGCGGACTTGATAGAGTTGCCGAGCGACGACGACAAGTTGTGACGAAGGGGGGTTGATGACGACACCCCAATAGTTGTAGGGTTTCCAAGTGGGGGGCCGTGGTGCCCGAACACAAGAGTTTTCGATGGAATGGGCAAGCCCTGTGTTACGAGGCGCGTTTGTTGTATTGTTCCTCGTTTCTGCTGTTCGTACGAGCGGGACGGCACTGCTGCGGCCTGTGACGAGGTTGTTTTGGACTCGTGTAGGGCCAGCTCCCCCGTCAAAGCCCGATAGGCCAACGCACCCCTCACGGCTACCACCATGTAAAATTAGTTTGTGGCAAGACCAAAATGTATGGACGCTCGTCGACTAGCGACTCGCCATGTCCAAAACCTATCGTGCGGCCGCACCCATCTACTCTGTCATGATGACCTAGATGGCAGGGGAGAAGCACTTCCATCCTCACCGCAGCAACGAAGTTTTAAGTGCAGGTACATGTCAGGTGTCACATACTAGGTGTGTCTACCGCCGCGACAAAAAGGGGCTTCGATGGCCACGTCAATGGACACCCGAAGCCCCAGATCATAGCCGTTACGGAGTCGTGCGAATTCGCGCCTTACAACCTTTTATTTACGATACGGTGCTCTTGTGGCGAGGGGCAAGTGAGGAATCGCTGGCCCGCACAGGGAGGTTTCTCGTGTGCGCCTGTTGTTTCCCGCGAAGAAAAGAGCAAAGGTTTTTTGGTGCGACAATCACCAATCAAGGGTCCCGGGATATCTGAGCTGTCGTTCCTTGGGTGGTAATTACTCGGCGTAAAGCTCACCGTCATTTATCCCATTGCTGAAAGAAAGGCAAACAAACATCTGCATGTATGATTGGTTCACACCTACATTGACTACTGGTGTAGCTCTCTCTACCCTCATGATGACAACAACCAAAGGTGTTCAGAGAAACACCCCATGTCTGGCATGATCACGGCATCTTGCAGCCTGGGCATGCATATTTCTTGCTGTGGACTGTGGACGTCCACACAGCCGCACTACCGTGATGGGTGTACGGGTGTACCCAAGATACGCAGCACGAGACTGTCTTTTCAAAAAGATACGGTTCGCTCCACCCCTACCCAGGAGTTCTATTCTGCGCAACCCCTGAGTCCCGCCGCCATCGCCGCTCTGCCTGCACTTACACATCACGCACGCCGTAGTGCTCGCGCCAGGGAGAGAGAGAGCGAGCATGGCGCAGGCAGGAGCGCACGACGAGGGCGATGAGCACTCTCGGTCAATGCCATCTCCGTACGTGAGCTTGGTAGACAGACAAGCCGGCGCTCATGGGGGTAAACCGCCCAAGGCGGAAGGGGCAACAGCATCATCGTCTCTGCGCGACAACGGTGCCGGAGCGCAGCAAACCGGGCAGGGCGGCAACGACAAGCTGCTGATGAAGAGGACGCTGGTGGCCCAGAGCAAGAAGATCCAGCAGCTGACCGCTAAGATCGACGGGATGGAAAGCGAGCGCGAGGCCATGGCGCAGCAGGTCAGGAATTGTGGGGGGGGTGATGAACCAGCCGTTGTTGTTGCAGTTGGCTTGCTGCTGCAACAATACGTGTCTCCTTGCTAGGGCAACACCTGGTTGCTCTGTACGGGAAAGTGAGGCTGCTGGGGGCATAGCTCAACAGCAGCCGTACACGGCGCTTGCGGTTAGAGGGTGCCAAGCCAATTTTGGTATACCTCAGCGGTAGCGCAGTCTACGTGTCCATTTGATTCCAGTCGTGCGTAGGTTCTGCTCGTACCTAGACGGCAGACATCACGCGGGGGAGGACTGGTTGCTCCGAGTCTCGCGCGGGCAACGTGTCATCGTACCGGCCGGTGTTCGGCGGTTAGCGTCCGGCAGTGCGACAAATGGTGAACGCTATAGGTCCACGACCCAGGCCACGGAATCGTCTTGCGTACTCCCCGGTATTTTTCTGCTCTGTGGACGAACGCGGTTACTACACCACTCAGCGTGACCGTGTTTGTGTGTAAGTCGGCGCAACATCGATCTTGAAGTCTCTCCCTACGTTCGGTCCCGCTTCAACGGCGAAACAGGTTGCCGCGTTGCGCATGGCAGTCTTCGAGGCTAGCACAAGAGCGGAGCAAACCGCGGAACAGGTGTGATGCAGCGAGCACAACTGCCGCAACAGAGTTGCCTGTCACAAAGAAAATAGCGCAGCGCAACGTCTGTTTGTCTTGTTGGGCAGCGCTTCAGCGTGGTACCCGCCGTTGAAGTACCCGCGTGAACGCGTAACAGGCAGGCGTGAACGGACAGGTTATTTCCGCAGGAGGAACCTGCGAGCGTTTCCTGCATGAGCACACATCTTACACATACACACGTTGGTCAGCCGGTAAGTAGCGGTGTTTGCTACTGTAGTAGCAAGAAACCATGCACATACGTGTACGTGGTATCAAAGCAAGTTTGGTTGTGGCAGGGTGCACAGGCCGAAGCAAGATGCGGTTGGTCGTGGCGTAGGTCACTGAGTTATGGCACGTGAGGGTATGTCGCGCTTGGTTGAGCGGCCCAGCCCTAGTTTGTACCCCGATCCCAACGAAGACTTTCCTCTTTTCTTCATGCGTACCGCCACATTGCTATACACGCAGCTGCGGAGCCCCGATGTTGACACATCGCGAGATGAAGACTCAAACCGTTGCAGCTCGGGGTGTGCCGCGGCTTCGTATCATACTTGCTAGTTTTCCGCGCACCTACTGTAGTGCTATCGCTCCGGCCTGTGTGATCACTCTCACCTTTGTGTTCACTCGCGTGTTTACGATACACCGAATCACAAGACAGCGCTGGTCAAGCAGCCACACGTGGTATCAATTTCTCTCTCCCATCTGCTCCGAGGACGCTTGGTCCAGTGGGTCTTCTCGGCATACTTGCAACTTTTCCAACCCATCCGTAGCAGCTGATCAAGGACAGCGCATCGTTTGTTCATCGTGGGGTTTTGTTGCAGTACAAGCGAGATGCGGTGGAGGCGGCAGTGCGCGAGATTGCTCAAGACAGGGAAGCTTTCGCCGAAGGCCGACGAGAAGCTGTAAAGCGAATAGGTGAGAACTGTTCGTAACCTCAGGCCGTTTAGCCTAGACTGCTGGACAGCAGTCAAGCAGAAAATGAGTTTATATCATACAGTAGCAGTCGTCGTCCCACCAGATAGAGAAAGTTCAGTAGTCTACGCAGGTTTTTCTGAGTAAGCAAACATACTGGATGAAGTATCGGATCGGCTAAGTTGCCGTTAGGGTTAGGGCTAGTCTGCGTGCCCCCTCCCTGGTGTTTTTTTCGTAGTAAACTTACATAAATGGATATAGAAAGTAGAGGAGAAAATGGAGAGTGGTATAGGGCCACCTCGAGAACACAAGCAAGTTACCCCGCATGCTGGAGAGATGCTACCAACAAGAGGGCCCGTTATCTCACACGTGTACGCCCCTTGATGAGGTCGCCCGCCTCGGCATATAATAGCGGGCCGGTACTGTGTCATAGCCACAGAGTCACGCGTACCGTAAGAAACGGGAAGATAGCACCCCCCCTGGACTGGCTGTCAAAGCTCGATTGCTCCACAACCAAGGGGGTACGGAAAGAGCCCGATGCGTGTACCGAAAGCCCTCTACGAGATGTTTCCGAAACCACCATTTTCGGTGTTGACACAATCTTGGTTGAGGAGCAAGAAGTCGAGCTTTACAAATCGGTCTACAATAGGGGGGGGGTGACATCTCTCCGCCTCTTACAGTATTTGAAGGGCCAACGCAAAAGGTTCCGTGCATCTGCCGGCGGGACTCGTTTTGTGCGCTGTGCGCTTGGGGAAGCGCGGCCAAGACATGGGGAAGACTCACCACCACACCCACGCGCGCGCGTGCGTTTTGTATACTCCTCCGAAGACAAGTATCTTTTCAGCTCGAGAGAACAGAAGTAAGCGCCTCCGTCGGCCCTGGTCTGGCGAGAGCCCGGTATGCTTCGTCCCGGCTTTGTAGGAATGCGAGGTCTTAACGACTACAGCATGTACGGCTATGAGTACAACACCGCCCGAACTGCAGCAGAGTAGATATCAAGCATGTGATGCACACGCAACATCCCGATTTCCGATTTCTAGGAGAACTTGAGGACGCGCTGGAGATCGCGCTGAAGGCGGCGGGGGGCGTCCACAGGAAGCTTCTGGAGCTCGGGCTGTCATGCGAAGACCTCGGCAAGACTAGCGTGCACCTATCGGTGGCGGCTCAGGAGGCGCCCGCAGAGGTGTGTTATGTGTGTGTGTGTGTGTATGTGTGGACGTGTTGCACTTGGGCACCGCGGTCGGTTGGGGATGGGCTGAAGAGAGGGATTTGTTCTTTTGATCGTGTTGTTGTCGCTGTTGTGGGTATTGTCGTTGTCGTTGTGTTGTTATGGTGTGTGTTGGTGTTGTCGTTGTCGTGTGATGATTGTTGTTGATGGTGGTGTCGTCGTCGTCGTCGACGTCGTCGTTGTTGTTGTTGTTGTTGTTTGGTGGTGGTGGTGGTGGTGTGGTGATGTTGCTGCTGTCGCACGTTCGCGCGACCTCCCGCACCCGACGCAAGCAGCTCGCATGTAGAGCAGCAACACGGGATTTGCCTTGCTCTTTGAGAGTCTTGCCGGTGGCTCTGAGCAGTGCCGGTGTGATGATAAGGAACGTGCCTTCTGTACCACTGCGGGGAGTCGCGGCTGCAATATACGTGCGGGTTGGAAAATTCCCCCGTTGCTCTCACGCCTTTTGTTCGGGTGTGAGTGTACGGGGCCCCTTATCCCACCGGGTGTTGGCACCATGCACTTTGACACGGCATTTCGCGTGGTGGTTTCGTCCATGCCTCTCTTGCCGCTCTCTGAACAGCCAGCACAATCCCGAAAAAACAAAAAGAAATCTTGTCCGAGATTCGATCATTTAATCAAGTGAAAATTGTTCGTCCACCGTTTGTCGTGGCGTTCTAGGACAAGCCGGCGCTAGCTGTTGCGGGGGAAACAATCGAAGCCGTCGTCGGAGTGATGCGTGCGATGGAGCGATCGGGAGTGTTTGACATCCTCGATCCGGTGGACGATGAGGAGGAGGGGGAGACGGAGGAGGAAGGTGACGAGGAGGGACCCCCCCCCCCCTTAGTGCTCCCGGACAAGCCTCCTGCTAGCGGGGATGGAACCCCCTCCGTCGAGGCGTTGGTCGGCGCCGCTGCTTCCGTCGCTGTCGATGGTGGCGCCGCTGACGGTGCGATTGGAGACTTGGTTGTTGGTGCCCACAACGAACATATGAACACAACAACGCAACCGGCGGCGGCGGCGCAACCGCTAGCTGGCGATGCAGTAAATCCTGTGTCTGCTGCGATTGCTGCAAGGTCACACGGGCCGGAGGGAACAGCAGACAGCGTGGGACCCGCGGAGAGACTTGTAAATATTTCGGGAGACGCGGCGGAGCCAGAGCAACGAGAAGGACAATCGCCAGCGAGAGGGGCGGCAGCAGAACTTCCGCTCCAGCAGGCGTCGCACGTCGACGGGAGCAGTATCACAAGAATGGAAACGCCGCAGGAGGGGCTGCTGCAAGCGCCGCGAGATCGGGAGCCGGCAGAACTACCGGGGCCAGCCGACGTAGAAACAACGCCAGAGGGTGGAAGGAACACCGGTGTTGTCGACAACGGTCAGCCGCCAGGTGATATCGCCGCCGGCGATGCAAACGACCGGACATCAGGCTTGGTGGGGGGATCGTCGTCGGCGTTAGAATAGCGGGATGGCCATGAAACACATCACGATGGTCGTGGTGGTATATCTGCGCCGCGGAGGGAGTTAGTTAAATGAGGCCGCTGCGAAGCAACAGGGAGCGCGGGAGCCATCAGCACCCGTCGCTCTCGGCGAGTCGCCGCGGCAGGGTGCGGCAGCGCGGACGGGGAACGAGATCAGCGGCGGGTACACGAAAGTCGTGAGCCGGAGCCGATTCGGGCGGATATATGGAACAAACGGGTAGGGTGGGGTGGGGTGGGGGAGTTTATCAATGCCGTTAGAGGGGGGGGGGGTATCGCTACAAGACCCTCCGTTAGACAAACGCCTATAGTCGTTGCGGGTCTTGAGACTCGGGGACCTAAGTTGGCGGCTGCGTTGTCCGGTGTGGTTGTGGTAAAACCGAGTTAAAGGAGTGAGAGGTTCCGAGGTTTGTGACTGTCCCGCTTAGTACTCGAAGTCGTTGTGTACAAAAGCATTATATATAGAGATTGCCGTTGGCGGCGGCTGTGTCCGCGGTTCGTTCCATTTCTCGACGAGAGGCTGGTCCTTATTTTTAGGCGCGGCAGAAAGCCAATTTGTAATTGGGGAATACAAGTCAAGTTACAATTGCCATTTGCCGTCGGGAATGATGACACTATTGCGGGCACGGCCTGCAACTACCAGTGATCTTCGCTATGTCTTCGTTTTTGGGGGGTCCTCCTGGGGGCAGTATGAGTTAGCTGCCCCCTTTGTAGCGTTGGTAGCAGACAGCAGTACCGAGCGCGACCCGCGATGGTCAAAGAGACAAGTATTATGCTTGGACAGCAGCAGCAGCAGCAGCAGCAGCAGTGACCGTGACAGCCTCGGCCTCTCGCTCCGTCCTTAGTTTATAGTTTAGATGGCATTTAGATGTTGACGTTGTTGTAACAAGCGTCTTTTCTTGCAGGGGGTTGGATTCGCCACACGCACCTCCCTGTTTTGAGTGTTTTTCGTTTTTATTGTCGTTTTTAGAGGAGGTTTATTTTGTTGCCCACAGACGGGCACCGCGGTGTAGTACCGATAGAAAAAATGTTCTTCATGTATTTATCTCTCTGTGGAGCGTTGAATCGGGTGCTCGTTTTGGGCAGCACACGGTGGTCGATTTTATCTCGGCCTTGCTACTGTACGTTGGCGGTAACAGGACGTGCCACGATCACACTACAGCAGCGACCCCCAGTGTCACGACGAAATGTGGTCGCTATTCAGGGCAGGTAGCTAAACCGAACTACCAACTATAACAGCTAGCTACCGGGGTGCGGCGGTGGGACGTGATTGGTGGTCGGTGAACAGGGCATGTCGCTAAACAGGGGGTCGCCTAAACCGAGGCCCCCACTGTACTAGTTTGTTGTAGTGAAATCACTCACGGCACGGCAGCTGTGGGAGAGAGAGCGATGTTCGGACTGTGGTTCTCTCTGGCAATCCATGGGTTACGAATTTGCGCTCACCGCAGCTAGCTGTCTCTCTCTGCAGCGGGAGTCTCAAAAGTCCTGCCTTGACCCTTTCCATTCCGCCTTAGGGGTAGGGTAGGGTTTTATTATGGAGCACAAACCACCGCCAACGCCTCGGAAGAAAAGAAACCATCGGTTCTGGGAAAGACCGTCGAACACGAAAAAAGTAAAAAGCGCCCATGCGGGACGTAAGGTGGAATTCACTCCCGCCGCCGCGGGGCAAACTGCCTGTGCCGCTTGCAGCCCACACGACCAACATGTATTTCAGGCCCTGTCAGGCCATCGGGGAGAACTGCATCGAGGCGATTTTTTCTTTCATGTTCACTCACTTGGACGCCTTGATTCTTGAGTTACTTTGTTCTTGCTGTGTCTCGTGCTCAAGTGTTACCGTAGTAAGCAGTTGCGGCTTCCCGTAAAAAAAACAAGGAAAGCTTGAGACAAACGCCGACGAAACTCGTCGAGGAGTTAGTTGCACATCAAAAAATGGAACGAAAGGTGGAATAAACGCGTACGGGCTGAGACACCCTCATAGTTGAAAAAAAAAAAAATGGTATTCGAAGCACCAGGAAGCAGCAACTCATCGACAAATTGCAACTCGTGAAGTAGCGCTGCCAACGCGCCCGTAAGTAGTACTGTATGTGACACAAGGTACCACACCCCTTGGACCGATTTCAAAGCTCGATTACTCCACGACGGAGAAGATGATGCATACATGAAACGATACGTTTTCGGAAAGCTCTCGACGAAGTCGGCTTCAACGCTGCCAGTCTTAATGCAGTGGAGCAAAATCCCAACTTTGAAACAAGGTCCCAGAGGGGAGGTGGTATCTTACGTCACCCATGGTACAGTAACTCATCGCCGAGCAACGGTTGGGACAACAGCTTGGGTTCATCATGAAGAGAAGCGAGATCGTGCCCACGGAAGCCAGAAAACTGAGAGGAGCGACGGTGTCCAAAAATGATGGAATTATTTCCGATTTTTTTTTAGTATTTGTTTTGGTGCCTCCGCCCTTTTTGATCCGCGTCCCTCCACTCACTGAAAAGACTCCACCACATCCCCTTCGACTACTGTGGTTATATCTCGAACGGGTAGTCTTTCTGCGTGTTTTATTTGTAATTTTCCTAATCCATATCTTCTCCAGTTCGGTTCGAGCCCACATGAGCAGGCACCATTTCCAGGAACACATCCGACCCGCTCTTGCACGACCAACCCCCGGCGGGCGGCGCTTATGGTGCAGGGAAGTTACCGACTGCTACATATCTGGCGGTCAAGGATTTCACGCCCAGCACCCAGCGGTCACATCTCAATCGAAAAACCAGCCAATACAGAAGAACCGGCCCGCACTCGAGGACTTGAAAGTTAAGGACTTGATCCTCGTCGTTGTGTATCGTCATCTATCACCTGATGACGTCATCTATCACACGTGCCAATCAGAACTTGCTGTAAGAACATGAGAACAGGCGCTCCTCAGTCAAGAAGCCGACACGAAAACCAAATCGTCGCCGTGGGGGTGGGTACCCCATACAAAGTAGACAAATCAAGAAAAGAGCCCCGGCCAAAACAAGAGGTTCGTAAGTGCGGCCCTATCTGTAGCCCAGCAACATTTTTGAAAAAGCTCGTGTGAAGCTGATCCACCTTACTCTCTCCCTCTCCCTCCGTTGTATGTTACATGTTGAATTATACCATCGGATTTCGTCAATCTCACTTTAAAGCCTTGTTTTTTCGCGGGCCTCCCGTGCTACACGCTAACCCCTGCGACTTTTCTTCTGCTTTTATTGCGGCCCAATGCTTGGCTTCGTGTATGCACGGCATTGGGAATAACAGCAGTGTAGAACGACCTTAGTGGGCTAGACGAGCCGCTTGGACTCGAAGAAGCTCTTGAGGTGTCGCACTTGGTAGTACCCCATCGCCACCAGGATCACCACCTTAACAAAACGAGAATAGGCCCGCGGGGGTGGGGAGTGGTTACACGGAGGCATCAAACACAAAAACAAAGAAAGAAACCAAAACTGTTGTTGGCGCGGAGAGAAGGAAACGAAAAAAAAATGGTTGAAACTGTGGTAAGTAGACATGAAAAAGATTAATGAATCAAGCATGGCCGCAGTCAGTGAGACGGAGAGCACATAGATCAGCGACAAGAAACGAATCAACAGTACGAACAGCGAGGACTTTGTGCAACATGTCTGGAAAAGTTGTCCGCCCGTGAACACACGACAAGCGACACAACACGAACACTCCGACCGTCGTTGTGGAAACACACAAACGTCGGAAGATTGGACTTTGAGAAGGGAACAAAAAAAAGTGGTTGAAATTTTGATGGAAGACATAAAAAGAACAATTTATCGAGCACAGTCGCAGTCAGGGCCCGGGAAACAGATAGATCGGCGAGGACTTTGTGGAACATGTCTGGAAAAGTTATCCGCCCGTGAACACACGACAAGCGACACAACACGAACACTCCGACCGTCGTTGTGGAAACATACAAACGTTGGCAGACCGGCTTGTACGAACCCCCTCCCCAAAGCAAACAACGACGACCAGTCGCACTCGCACCACAAAGCACCTGCGATGCACGCCACCACAAGACCTCACGGTTGAGCTACATAGCCCAGGGAGAAGCTTGTCGTAAAAAGTACATAGTACACCACACGAAAAAAAACAAACACAACAGTATCACCGTCTTTGTGAGAACATGTGCAAGTCGGAAATCCCTCCGCCCCCAAAGAAAAACAGCGCTAAAGGGGTATCACTGGTATAATTCAGTGTACAGGTTTAAAAACTCTAAAATAAGTCCAGTTTCCAGCCGGTTTCCCTCCACTCCCTGAAAAGACTTCAGCACATACATCCCTTTCGACTGCTGTGGTTATATCTCGAACGGGTAGTCTTTTTGTCAGTTTGTTTACATTTTCTAAAGATACATATTTCTAAAGATACATATTTCCAATAAAGATAAACAGCGCCGACAAGAAAATTCACACGGCGCACCCTGCCATACAGGCCACGGACCCCCCCCCCCCCAAACGCCCGCAAGAAACGTCACACGACGCACCCTG